CACCTCTAAGGCTTCAAGCTCATTCGAAACATAACCAAAATCAGGAGCGGATCCAGGATTTTTTCAAAGGGGGGGTTGTAGCATTGATTGAGGTGGTAGAGAGATATAGCAGACCAAAGGGTTAGGGAGACAATTATTTGCTGCAGGCGAGCATGGTTGTTTCAGGTCCCACACACGGCGTATAGAAAAAAAGCGAGCAAAATGTGTTTTAATGAAACTCGCAATGCTGTTGGTGTTGTCATGAAAAATTATGATAATAATAATAAATCACGATGGCTCTCATAGGGGGGTTGCAACTCCCAACCCCCCCCCCTCCCTCCCCCGCTTAGATTTGCCACTGAAAATTTGTCTCCAGAGAGTCATTCAAATGATTCAAAATATAGTCCATCTCGATCAAGATTTTTACCACATTTCCCGGCAAACTTCTGAAATTCCCGCCAAAAGGACCATCCATCATATTTACTTCCGGTTGTCAAYTTCCTTCACGCGAAATAGTGTTCATAACTGAGTTTGTTTACATTACTTCGCGTGAATCAGGCTGACATTGTTTCTTCTTTCAATTAATGGCTATAAAACGATTTTAATAACATAAGGTACGACATTATTGAGAGATTCTTATTTTTATTTAAAAATTAATCACGATTTACACGTTCAAACGCTCAACAAACGGCTTCAACACGACTTCAACACGGCGTGATTTCCGGTAGCTTCACTATCGAGACAATCATTCCGTCGGGAACACGAAGGTGACGTCATTTTCGGAATGTCGTTTTGAGTCTCGCGAAATAGCCTCTACCGTTATTASTATCATCTATGACGCGAAATACAAGTCAAAATACATGTCTAAATACGTGTATCAAATACAAGTAAGCTATTGTTTTCAACAATAGAACTTGACACTTTCTGTGACATTAACTGCGCATGTACAAGACTATAGCCAGGATGCTTCGACGTCGGATTTTCTACGTAATACTATGCTGAATGTAAAAAATACATCTATTTGGGGAAAATTCGATGAAAACAATGAACCAGTAGAAAAAAAATTAAATAGAGCCCTCAAATTCCTCAAAGTTCCTCCATAAACTCGTAAGTCTGTTCCATCCCGGTATATCTCATTCGTCGCAAAAATATTACAAAGTTATGATCGCTTTTGGACGTCCGTTGATTGCCCCCGTGTTATTTTCATAAAGACGTCTCACAGTTTGACGAAAGTTCTTTAACCAGAACGGCAAGTTAGTTGCGCATCGTCATTTAATACTGAAGGAAGCTGTCCTTCTATGTTTAACTGTGAGACTATAAGGCAGCATATTTCATAGTGGGCTTAGAGACGTTTTTGCTAGTATAATACTGAGCTCATCAACATTTTGATTAATTGTATTTTTTGCCTCAATTAGTGGAGGTTAATTCAAGAAACTTTGATATTTCTTCTGAAAAGCCACTCATTTTGCAGCCAGTAACGAGTAGCATACTTTACTTAGTAGTTATTCAATGACTGTTGATCTGAAAAGCCACTCATTTTGCAGTCAGTAACAACTTTATATACTTAGCAGTTATTCATGCCTGTTGACCTCTGTCAGTTATTAAAGGGTTTTCAACATGAGCAAGTATAATAACATCTCTGACACTTTCAAAAACGGATTAAT